GTTTGTTTGTTTGTTCTGATTGTCGTTCTGTACGTTCATTCGTTCGTTCGTTCGTTTGTTTGTTCGTTTTATTGTTTGTTTAGTCTCCTGTTGTTTTTTTGATTGAAATGTCTTGAAAAACATACACACACACATCACACACACACATACACACATGCACGCACACACACAGCTACACAAATCAAACGTCCACCGACATTTTCTGGAGCTACTACACCTTCTCGGGCGTTCCGTCAAAGTCCACAACCACTCCGGCTGGACTGGCGACCCAAAAACGAGTTGGAAAGTTCGACCCACTTCCGGTTGTGATAGTAGTAGTGCTGGTTGTGGTAATGATAGTAGTAGTGGTGGTGGTGGTAGTGATGGTAGCAGCGGTGGCGTTTGTCCCGAGTGTGGTAATAAAGTTGGTGAGTGTTTTTTGTGTGTTTCTGTTGTGTTTTATATTGATGTCGCTGTTCATATTGTATTTAAATGTATGTTTGCTTGTTTGTTTGTTTGTATATATTTATTTTTGTATGCATGTATGTTTGTTTGTAGGTTTGTTTGTTTGTATGTATGTATGTTTGTTTGTTTGTTTGTTTGTTTGTTTGTTTGTTTGTTTGTATGTATGTATGTATGTATGTATGTATGTATGTCTGTATGTATGTATGTATGTATGTATGTATGTATGTATGTATGTATGTATGAGTGTATGTATGCCATCATGATCACGCGTTCGTCATCATCGTCGTCATCATCGTGTTAATCACTCGACCACCAGATACTTCTGGAGGTGGACGCTACAATGGTAAGAAGGAGGTTTTATACTGGGCTGACGTTTCTACAGAAATCGTATTCATAGTTCCTATTAACGAAGCTGCGACAGCAGCTGCTACTACTACCGCTGCAGCAGCAGCTACCACTACTACTACTACTACCGGTAATACTGTTTTCCAGTTATGTTTGTAATGTTCATGTTCATGTGTTTAATGTTTTTGCTAATATTACCATTACTACTACTACTACTACTACTGCTGTAGTTACTACTGCTGCTGCTGTTGCTGCTACTACTGAAACTGCTTCTGTGGTCGCTTCTTCTGCTACTATTACTGCCTAATTACTACTGCTGCTGCTACTAACGTTCTAATTAATAATAACGATAATTAAATAATGATTAAAGGATGTTTCTTACAATACTTTAAGCCTAGGCATTTGATGTTTACTCTCGTTAATATTTAGCTCACCCTGCTACTAAACCAAAAGATGGCATGACGTCACAACCACAACAACAGCAGCAACAACAACAACAGTCGTCGTCGTCGTCAGCTACAGCCGCAACAGCCGCCACATCAAAAGCATCAACAACTACATCTATGAAAACAACATCATTAACAACAACAACAATAGCCAAAACAACGTCATCAGCAACGTCATCATCTGCAACAACAACAACAACAACAGTAGATGCTGATGTTACCAGGCTCAGAAAATCAGGTAGAGCCGGTCATGGCAGTCAGGTTGACACGCAGGTTTGTTGATTGATTGGTTGATTGGTTGAAAAAAGGAATGAGTGAGTGAATGATTGAATGAAAAATGAATGAATGAATGATTTATTCTTTTATTCACACACTCATTCATTCAGATTGTCATAGTATGGCTTGAGTGCTTCGAGGACCACATTTCTTTTCCTATTGGTTAGCATAAAAACAGTTGTCTTTCATTTGTTCAAATAGTCATTTATTCATTTATTTTCATTCATTCACTCCTTTATTTATTCATTTACGTTTACTCGGTCGTTCATTCATTCGTTCATTCATTCGTACATTCATTCATTCACTCAGCCGATTTAGCGAAACTACCACACCACCAACAAACTGCTGAACACAAGGGTTTTAGGGCCTCACAGTTAGGGCCCAATAATTTTTCCGTCATATTTGTACACCCCCTAAAAAGTGGACTTGTCCGAATACACATGCAAATACAGCATGCCAGGTCGGTTGGTTGGTTGGGTCGGATGGTTGATTAGTTTATCAATTTATTGAATAATCTGTGGGTTGGTTGTTGAGTTGGATTGATTAATTTGTTGGCTGATTGGCTAGTTTGTGAATTGATTGCTGACTAGCTGGTTGACTGATTGATTGGTTGACTGATTGGTTGATTGATTGATTGGTTGATTGATTGATTGGTTGATTGATTGATTGATTCAAAGGATTGGTGATGCTGGGCCCTTAGTTGACGGGATGGTTGTGAGCAGACTAACCTTAGGCCACCTAATTAGGCATACGTGCGTTAACGTGTTCAAAAGGAAGACGCTTGATAATGACGTGTTAGTATTTGTTTGTCTGTTTGTTGGTTTGTTTGTTTGTGTGTTCATGTGTGTTTGTTCGAGTAGTTTTCCAAAGTTATCATTGATCGAGTGTTGATTTACTGGTTGGCTGGATGATTAGCTTTTTCATTCGCTAACTCGTTTAATCATTCATTCTCGTATTTATTTATCTTTTGTTTGTTCATTCATTCATTCATTCACTCATCCATTCACTCATCCATTCATTCATTCATCCATTCATTCATTCAGGTACCAGCCGTCACACGTAAGAAGGCGCATTTTTATAAATGAGATAGTACAGAAGTTCTACATACCGCTTACTGAATCGCAATTCTTAACGTCGCTTTTCTATTGATAAATTTCCATTTATTATTATTATTATTTTGTTATTTTATTATTATTATTTTCTATTATTTTATTATTATTGTTGTTTCTTTTTTGACTTCTTCTAAAAAAACGACGTACACTCGTCGTCGCTAGGACAGTCAGCTCGAGGCAAGGCACACCAGCTATGCTTTACAATTATGAATAGTTTAATTTATTACCGTTATTATGATTGTAAATAATATTAATTAATAATAATAATATTTATTATTATTATTGTTGTTGTTATTAATGTTCTTCTTATTATTCTTTTTACTACTTAATTTTCAAGTGTTTTTTTCATTAAAGTTGCGTCGGTATCTATGTACACCGTGTATGTAATTGTTATATTCGCGCACATATCGATCCATACTTGTTAATAATAATAATTAATAATAATTAAAAATAATAAATAATAATTGATAATAATAATAAATATAATAATAATTATTATTGTTGTTATTACATCTCAGCTATTGCCTATTGCATTTATTATTATTATTATTAATAATAAATGCAAACTTTATTTTTATTATTATTCCAATTATGATCGTTAATATTATTATTGTTAATTGTATTATTTATAATTATTATTATTTATAATTATTATTCGTAGTTGATGTTGGTAACGGCTGGCTATCATTATTCCTAGTGCACCTTATTATTATTATTATTATCCCATCTACACGAATTTTTGATTCTAACTTTATTGGTTCATGATTGATTAAATGGATGAATGAATGAATGAATGAATGAATGATTGATTGTCTGAATGAATGAATGATTGTCTGAATGAATGAATGAATGAATGAATGATTGTCTGAATGAATGAATGAATGATTGTCTGAATGAATGATTGATTGTCTGAATGAATGAATGGTTGTCTGAATGAATGATTGTCTGAATGAATGAATGAATGAATGATTGATTGTCTGAATGAATGATTGATTGTCTGAATGAATGAATGGTTGTCTGAATGAATGATTGTCTGAATGAATGAATAAATGAATGAATAAATAAATGATCGAATGAATAAGAGAGCGTACCAATAAAAGGATGCATTATTATATAAATGAGTGAATGAATAAAAATAAAACACGAACATGAATTAAAAAACAAATGAATGAACGAATGAATAACTAGATGAATGAATGATCGAATGAATGAACCAACGAACAAATGAACGATTAAATGATCGATTGATTGAATGAACCTAGCAGAAAACGAATGAACGGTTTACGTTTTTCAAAAACTTTCTTCCCTTCATTTCGAATTAGTTTGTTTCAATTTTATTATCACTTATTTAGACAAGATAAATTTAGAATTTAAATTGAAACTAATTAGTCACACGCACACACACACGAAAAGACACACACACTCACCCACAGAAACACACACAAACACTTGAAAAATACTACTTTACGTTTTATAAATGTTTCCCTTTATATATATCATTTCGCAATTTTGATATTTCAGATTTTTTTGTTACAACACTCGAATAAAATTTTTAAAAAATATATATATATAAAAAGCTAAAAAGCTTGCTCATGCTATTATTATCATTACTGAATTTTATTATTAATATTATTATTGTTCTTTATAATTATTATTACTTTCTTGATTCTATTATTATTTTATAATACGACAGGTCATTAACCCACAGCAATATGTTGAAATTGTTTTTCAAGAAACAAAATAACATAATTAAGCAGTTTGTATATGTATAAATATATCAATCACACACACATATATATATATATGTATGCAAATACATTACATACATATGTATGTATATATAAAATCATTCAAGCCTCGACTATATGTTAGTATATATATGAAACTAATGAATGAGAAAAATATATATATATATATGTGTGTGTGTTTGTGTGTGTGTGAGAGAGAGAATTCAATGTTCATTATTTAAGCAACAACAACAAAATCATAAAACTCTCTATAAAATAAATTGAATAAAGCAAATAAATAACAAAGTTAATGATTGATTTTATTCGAATTAGATCATTTTTAATTGAACAATAACTGTATATTCAGATTATTAAATTATTATTCTTTGTGGTCATTCTTCTTTGCCTTTGTCACCACTCCTTCCACTATTATTATTATTATTATTATTACCATTATTTTTGTACTTATTTGACAACCTGGCCACCATACTGTCAGAGTTTCCTAATTTTTCCCTAAACTTCTGCCTCAAAACCAGACTGGCCGTCCAAATATTCCCAGTGAAGAGAGTGAAAAAGATCAAACTTAGAACGAAAACCTGCCATTCAGAACATTGCTCATGAAATGACAGTTGGAGTAAGGTGACCCCATTGTAAAACTGGAAAGCATATCCAATGAGAAGGAATGGAAATATAAAGGATATCCCCTTCCACATCCATGATTGAAAACCTTCAACTGTTATATCCATGTTTCTGCGTTCTCCTAGGGCTCTCAGTCTGTAGAGGGCTCCAATTTGGTAGTAGTACTGAAGTAGTTGTACGACGCTAAGGTAGATTGAAAAGATTATAAACTGGGGCCTAAATAAATGGTAGGAGTAACCATCTGGCCAAATCAAGAGCAGACCTGCACAGGCTGTTGATATAAAGTGATGTGTAATCCACCACCCTTTGATTCTAGACCCATTCATTTTCAGAATGTGTTCTCGAATTGTTAGAGTGCAGTAATACCAGACGCTTAGAAATTGAAAAACTGCATCGGTTACTCGATAATCGAGAAAGAACCAGAGAATCAGACCAAAGACAAATATGACGAGTGTGACATAAAGTTTGAATAATTCGTAATCCTGCTTGTACTTGTACTTATCCTGTTTACTCAGAAGAGACATGTTAACACTGCCTAACACTATTTTCAAATACAGGGTGTTCTCGCGAGGGAGTACCTCTTCTAACTCCCGAAATTGTTCTTTTCGTTTGCATACTTTTGATTTGAGCTCCTCTATTGATTTTTCGTCATCTTCTGTCACTTTTGGCATATGTTTTAAACTCTCATACAACAAATTAATTCTGTATTTTTGATGATTTAAATCGGTCTGACATTTTTTCTGGACCCCCTTCAATTCGTCGATTTTCTGGCAATAAATCTTGTGCCTTTCCTCATAGGATGCAAACTCCTTCTCCAGGTCCTTCCAATCTTTCATGCAATTTGACAGATCGGCCATTTTGAACTTTATTTGAAAAAATAACGATCTAAAAATTAAATTTACTAATAAATAAAATTAAATTAAACAGAGCGAAATACCAAGCAGGCAGAGCGAAAATTAATTCTTTCGTCAGTTAAGTTACCACGTTTCAATGTCTGTCAAAGTACATTTAAAAAGCTAAAAGTGAATTCCGTTTTTAATTTTTAAATTTAGCAATATATTTAGAAAATTGAAATTTTGCAAATATTTAAAAACAATTTAACACTAAGAATAAACAATTGCCTAATTAAATTGCATACACACACAGTCCTGTAGTTGAGTCGGTCATTTTATTCACCATCACTAAAAAAGTTGAAGGTTAGTTTTTACTTTTAAATTCAAGGTACAAAAGTTACTAGTTTGTTAGTATGTAAAGTTAGTGATTCTAATTAGTGAGTCGCAGTAGATCAGAAATTGCAGATTTTGATGTGATGAAAAGAATGAAAGCTATCGTCGTATCTGCGTTTGGGGGTCCAGATGTCTTAAAATATTTTGGTAATCATGAAATGCTAAAAGTTTTGGGTGATCATCAGGTACCTGCTGTCTTTTTTTTACAGATAAAATTTCCATTTGTCTTTTTTTTTGTATTTTTTATAAAAAAAAGTTTTATTTAATAAAGTATAAAATAAATTTTGATGAAAAAAGTAAACATTGATAAAATTAGTTTGTATTTTATTCTAATATTTGATTTGATGTTGTTGACTGACTGAATTGGAATTTCATAAATTATGCTATAAAAAATAAAAATTAAAAGCTATTAAGTTTACTTAAAACTATACTCAATTTTTATTTTAGTTGTTGTTCCTAATTATAATTATTAAAGATTTTCATAAAAGTCAGTCATGCTGGAGTGAATCCAGTGGATACATACAAAAGAGCTGGAAATTACCAGCCTTCATCTCCCAAGCCTCCTTATACTCCCGGATCAGATGGAGCAGGATTAGTACATCTCTGTGGCCCCAAAGTTACAAAGTTCAAGGTCCTATATTTGATGTTTAAATTTTGTTTTTCTAGAAGTTATTAAATTTACTTCCTAGTTTGTTCATTCAATAATACCACTTTGTTAATTTAATTAATGAACAAAAAGCATACAGACATTGATTAAAAAATCACATAAACACATGCAGTATAGAATATATTAGCAAACATTTAAATATACTTTAACACATACACATACACACATTCACACCCACCTACACACACACACAAATGCACAACAGCCAGGGGATAGAGTTTACTTCTGCGACTTCCAAACAGGGTCATATGCAGAGTACTGTACAGTTTCTGAAGATCGTGCTTATCGTCTGCACGATAATCTTTCATTCGAGCAAGGAGCCGCCATCGGTTTCCATACTTCACTGCCTACCGTGCTCTCATTACTAAAGGAAAAGCTCGAAAAGGCCAAACGGTTCTTATTCACGGAGCCAGTGGAGGGGTCTGTTGTCTATGTTGTTTTTTTGAAATTGTTGGCTGCTTATTTCAGGAATTGTAAAAAAGAAACAACACATGAAATGAAATTTTTAAACTTTTTTATAGTTTAAGAGCATAAAGTATATTCATATATTTAGTTTAAAATTTGGCTAGTGTTTAAAAAATCTAAACAAAATAATTGTTTATTTAAAATAATTATTCATTTATTTTGGTTTTAATTAAATTTTTTTCAATCTTTCTTTCCCTACAAGGTCGGCTTGGCCTGCTGCCAGATTGCCAAGCACCTCGGCCTCAAAGTCTTTGGCACAGCTGGCACTAAAGAAGGCTAGATGGGTGGGGGGGATTTATTACTATTTTTATTAATGTCAAGGTCGTATTTAAGGGAGGATAAGCAGGGCTACTACCTTAAGGCCTCCCAAAAAAAATTGGGGTTCCACAATGTTGCGATGATTTCTAAAATGATTGTCCCTTTTTTTTATTGTGAAAGTGGAAATAATTGAAATAATAATTATCGGCCATCACTTATTTTCGTTTGCCATGAGTATCTTCGTGCCTCTACATCCAACTCTTATCATTATTATATCGTTGTTTTCGTGGTTATTATTATAATTATTATAATAATTATTATTATTATTGTTGTTATTTTTATTGTGATAACTATTCTAGGTTTGAATCTGGTGAAAGAGAATGGGGCCAGTGAGGTACTCAACCATAGAGAGGATGGCTACATGGAACTGTTGAAAGTATCTATGTACTTATTTGTCCTGCAGAAATGATTTGTTGTTGTTGTTGTTTTTGTGGTTGTTTTTGTTGTTGTTATATTACTACTGTTATTCTTGTAATTGTTAATCGTAATTCATCAATCCATCCGCTTATCCATTAATTCATTAATTAATTCATTCATTCATTATTAAGACTTATAAAAAAAATATTGGGTAAACATAAACGTTTTCGTTATTATTATTTATTATAATTAAAATTATTATTTGTATCTACACAGAAAGGACAACCCATAGATGTCATTATCGAAATGCTTGCCAACGTGAACTTACAAAAAGATCTTGATCTCATTGCAGAGGAGGGAGTTATTGTGGTTTGAACTTTGAACGTTTGGGGCCAGAGATTCTTCATTATTATAATTATTATTGGATAGATAGATAGTGACTGATTGACTGATTGATTGATTGATTGATTGATTGATTGATTGATTGATTGATTGATTGATTGATTGATTGATTGATTGATTGATTGATTGATTGACTTGTGGATTGACTTGTGGATTGACTTGTGGATTGACTTGTGGATTGACTTGTGGATTGACTTGTGGATTGACTTGTGGATTGACTTGTGGATTGACTTGTGGATTGACTTGTGGATTGACTTGTGGATTGACTTGTGGATTGACTTGTGGATTGACTTGTGGATTGACTTGTGGATTGACTTGTGGATTGACTTGTGGATTGATTTATTATTATTATTATCACCATCATCATCAGATAGTTGGCAGTAGAGATAGAGCAGAAATTCTACCAAGATCAATAATGATGAAGGAATCATTAGTGACAGCCGTTTCATTATTCAGATGCACGCATGTATAGTTTTTTTTCGTCTATTTTATTCATTTCTTTTTCATTCATTCGTTCATTCATTTCAGTTTCATTCATTCATTCACTTGTTTGTTCATATATATCAATCGTTCATTTTCACTGACATTCGGGTTTTTTCATATTGTCGTTATGTATTTTAGATATACCTTAGTTTTATAGTCATTAAAAAAATGATACTGTATCTTTATCAGTGTATCATAGATCTCTTTGTAATGCTAGATACTATCATTTTCAGCGTATCATAGATCTTTTTATAATGATACTTTCATTTTCAGCGTATCATAGATCTTTTTATAATGATACTATCATTTTTCAGCGTATCATAGATCTTTTTGTAATGGTACTACCATCTCTGTTAAAGTCACCAGTTTGTGATATCTAAATTCAAAACTTTTAATCCTTTTGAAACTTAAATTAAAATTTCATCTAATTTGACTTTTAGAAATTGACCCTACCTTATTTGACTTTTGACCCCTTACGCAGGAGACCTGGAAAGAGATGGGGGACTTTTTCGACAGGGGCCAGCGAGATGGCTGGGTGAGGCCGGTCATCGGGAAAGTTTACAAACTGCACGAGGCCAATCTGGCTCACGAGGAGGTCATCAAACACCAGGCTGGCTCTCAAGGAAAGATCCTCCTCTCCATCGACGATTGAATGAATAAAGTTTATTTGAGTCGGTTTTGTCGGTAATTTTTCCGATATAATCATCAGTATTTTTTCCGGTATTGTTGCCGGTTTTTTTGTTGCTTTTTGTCAGCAACTTATCGGTGTAATTTGTTTCTTTAAGTGTCAGTATTTGTTTCTGATTATTTTTTTTTAGTTTTGTCATTACTAATTATAATATCAGCTTTTAATCGATTATTTCTTCAATATTTCTGTGGTAAATCTGACTATGCTTCAGTCGGTTCAGTATCGTATAACATACATTGCGTGTATGTATTTGTGTTTGATGTTTATTCGTCTATTTGATAGTCGTTGAGTTAACATAACATAAGTTGAAGCTTTCTTGCTTGCTTGCTTGCTTGTTTGTTACTAGTTATTACTAACACCTAGATCCAAATAAAAGATTAGATAAAGTTAGTTAGGTCTGAATTTGATTAGATTAGAATAGATATAGTTACGATATGTGTATGTATGTGTTATTTGTTCTGTTAGTATGTCTTTTTAATTGTCTATTCGTATTTGTTCATAGGCAGCATAGATAGGTTTTCAGAGTGCAATGTTGATGGTTCATTTGTGTGCGTATGTATGTAGGAATTTGTATTTGAGATGTATTCGTGTGTGTATGTATTCTGATTAGTTTGCCGTTGTTATGCTGTGTGTTTTTTTGCAGTTGAAGAATGAATGTGTTTCAATGTCGTGTGACATGCATGACTGAAGATACACTTATATGTATTATGTATATATATTCATACATACCCTATATGTGTATATATATATATATTATATGTATATAGGAAAAGTGAGGGAGAGAATAATTATGTCACATTTATAAATAGTTTTTCAAAGATCTATATTATAATGAAGACATATATATATGAATAGATGGGCGTACTTTGTTATGAACTAGAGCCCCAAGCGGAGAAGATTTTTTAAACCGCATCCGAACTGGACGACAATCAATCAATCAATTAGCTTATAAAGCGCTATTTCCGCGATGTTCAACAGCGCTCCTCAATGAATTTTGAAAACAGATGGGTCTTGAGATCCGCTCTGAACTTCGCAAGTGATGGAGAAATAGTTAGAGAAGTAGGTAGAGAGTTCCAGAGAAAAGGACCAGAAAAAGCAAAAGCAGATTTGGCAAAAGAGTGTTTAACACAAGTTAAGAAAAAGCGAGAAGAAGAAGACGATCGTAAACCGGGGCGTTTAGGTTCAATTAATATATCTGATAAGTACTTAGGAAATAATTTAGATTGAGACTTATACATGAACGTGCAAATTTTAAAAATTATAGGTAGCCAGTGCAAGAGAACAAGATATGGAGATATATGAGAAAAGAAAGGGGCACGAGCAACTAGACGAGCAGCAGAGTTAAAAGCTTTACTTAAAGGATAGAGTATAGAGTCAGGAAGACCATAGTAGAGCGAGTTACAATAATCAATCCTAGATAAGACTAACGAAGTAACAAGAAGGAGAAGAGTAGGATCATCAAGAAAAGGCAAAAGACGATGAGGAACTTGTAGGAGGTATTTATTTATTTAATATTCATGAAAAAGTTATGTTGTAGTTGTATGTACCCAAGTTATATATATATATGTACGTGTACAATGTATATTATACATTTGTCAATATGTTACTATATATAAATACATTTGTATATTTATTGCGAAATTGCAATATTTTTAATAAATTGACAAAAATAATTTCAGATTACGTAATTTAAGTTTCATTGGTTAATAATTGAGTGGTTAGATAAATGATTGATTGATTGATTGAAAGTTTATTCTTTTTTGAACTTAGAAGAATAGATTTATATAAACTTGATATGGAAAAATGAGATGATTTAAACTTTTAAATCAAATAAATAAATAATTATTTTGTTGGAATAATACGTTTGTCCCCTTTTAATAGATAAGGAGAAATTGATCTTACTAAGTTGCATAGAACTACACAAATGTACGTTTAATGGTTTGTATCTATTCTATGGTAAATATTACATAATATCGCTAAATGTCTTGAATAAAAACGGAATTTTAAACCAGACAAGATATTAATTTGCAAAATAAATTAAAAAAAATTGATTTTTAAATATGATTACTTCGTTGCGATTGGTTCCTTCTGCCTTTGCAAAATTGTTCATTCAAAGCCAAATAGTTTCATCTCGGTCGCCCGCCTTACAACAAGTTGTACAAGTTCAATCAAGGTAAAAAAAAATAAATTAAAATATTGAGCTCACTACTATACAAACAAAATCTGTCATTTATTAATTAGGTAGCATTTATATTTAAATCTTAAGTGGCCTAATTTAACAACCTGACACAGATTCCTAACTACAAGTCAGATCCTGGAACGTAAATTAGACAGTCGGGCCCACCCGCCATATCCTTTCCCCAGCAACAAAAATAACAGATGGGTTGAGAGGAAGTCATACAAAGATCATGAATATACCATTGAACCATTACCTTGCCCAAGAACAGGTGGCCGGGGACCCAATGGTAAGTCTTTTTTTAACTTTTTCATTTAAAAAATTAAATTTTTTAAATTTATTCAATGAACAAGTATTACCATTTAGTGTTTTTTATTTGAAATGTTTTTTCTTTATTTTTGTTAGTGTTAAAAGATTTTCATTATTATTATTTCATTTTATTTAAAGATTGCACACAAAAAACACTAAATTTACTTCCTACACCTACCTAACTACAAAAAATTAGGCAGAATCTGGAACCATAAAAGAGGCGGGGGCCTGAAAAAGGTTTTCTACATGATTGACAACTTGAGGTTCAATGATAAGTATCTCACACCACAGAAAGATGGTCTTATTGTTGAAAAGGTACACACACACACACACACACACACACACACACACACACACACACACACACACACACACACACGCCTTTCTACTTACATGTATACATGCACCTAATCTCTATACATTAATACACAAAAATGTACAACACAGATACACACATGCACATATTTATTTATCTATATAATATGTATGTATACAAATGTATATCTAGCTACCTACATGGAAAATACACACACACACACACACACACACACACATACACATCTATTTATAAAATTACACATATGTAGAGAGAGAGAGAGAGAGAGAGAGAGAGAGAGAGAGAGAGAGAGAGAGAGAGAGAGAGAGAGAGAAACAGCAGCTTATTTATACATAACAATATATACAGAAATATTTATTTCCATTTATTCATATATGCCTACTATATTGCCTGCTTACTGTTTGTTAGATTTTAGAGATTAGGCCAGATCAGAATAGGACTGCCCATGTGGCGTTAGTGGCCTCTGGCGAGAAAAAAAGGTTGGGACGATTCATTCATAATTTAATTTATTTCAATTGTTTCATTTCACTTTTTGATTTTTTTAGAGTTGATTTTTTTCTTGTTTGAAAATGAAATGATGTATGTGTCATGAAATTAACTGGTGCTTTGAATCTATTAACACAGCAACAAGCCTATCCTATCATTCATTTGATACTATCTATATATCCGTCAATCAATCAATCAATCAATTAATCCGTCAATCAATCAATCAATTAATCAATCAATTACTTTGTATCTTCCCTCAAAAGATACATAGTTGCAACTGAAAACATGAAAGTCGGAAATCTCGTCAGATCTTACAACATCGTCTCCAAAACCCCAAGTTAGTGTAATCAAAATAATAATAACATTAACAACAATAATAATAACAAAATAATAAATAAGTTAAGAGTTAGAGATCCCTATCTATCTTTTCTGGAACATTTGTGCCATGCGTTGATTGCTACATAGTGTGTGTTTGTGGTATTTGTTAATATAATTTATTTATTTCCTCAAAGACACAAAAAGTAATGTAAATTGGTAATTGGTGTAATTAGGGGGAACGACTTTTGTTCTTTCTAGTTAATTAATTAGTTGATTAATAGCTAATTAATTGATCAACAAAATTATAATTAGATATTAATTTAAAAAATGATTCCAGTCAGGCCAACAGAGGGCGACGCCCACCCGGTCGGCTCTCTGCCAATAGGAACCGTGGTCAGCTGCATCGAAAGATTCCCTGGAGACGGGGGCAAGGTCGCCACTTCGGCCGGGACGTCCGCCACCCTCGTTCGAAAGCAGGTCGATAAGGAGGGCGAAGATGTTTGCGTCCTGAAGATGCCTTCGAAACGGGAGATCGTCGTCTCGAGTCGCTGTGTGGCCACCGTCGGCAGGGTGTCCAACGTTCTGCATAACAAGTGCGTGCAGTTGTGGCTGCTGTCGTTGCGTTGTTCGTTTTGTGGGTTTTTTAATGGTGAATGTTGTTAATGTTTTCTTTTGTTATGTGTTTATGTGCACGTAATGGTCTGTGTATGTGTGTGTGCATATGTTTGTGTGTGTCTATATGTTTGATCGTCTATATGTGTGTATGTTTTGTATTTGTGCTTTCATAAGCATTTCCTGCTACTTTTCATACACCTGGTATGCATTGGATGGGTTGAATGTAATTTATTTCTCATAAATCTATTAATCACCACTACCACCTAGAAAACCACTCATTTTAATAGAATACAGCACACACACACACACACACGCCCACACACACAAAGATCAATCTCCCATCTACCTCACACCTCACCACGTTACAGAAAACATTTAGGAAAAGCTGGAGCAAAGCGCTTGCTAGGAATTAGACCCCGCAGTGGACTCTGGCATCGAAAAACTGGAAAACATGGCCGGAAAATCAGAGCAATTAGACCCCCTCTCGTTTATAAAGTTAAGGGCCCTGAGGTCGCAAAACAAAAATACTTTACACTACCTAATGGCCCCGGTCTTTACGCTTGCATGCGGTTTTGAAGCACGTTTTAGTGATATGTTTGGAGTCAATCTAACTGACTGTTAATCAGTTTAATTGGATGACTCGACTAATTGATTGATTGTTTGATTGGCTGATTGATTGTTTTTTTTGATTGATTGACTGATTGATTGAATGATTGATTGACTAAGTGATTGACAAGATTAATTATATTTAAATGCTTCAAATTGTTTTAACATTGAATAAAAATTTAAAAAATTTGAGCTAGAAAATTGAGACGCCCGTGTGTGTTCTCTAATTGCTGGTGTAACAAAATATGAATCTGTTTCATCATATATGCGAAATGAGCTTCACTGGTTGCCAGTTTGTTATAGAATCGAATTCAGAATAGCAATGTTTACAAGAGACAGTTTGATGGGGCTTGGTCCTCGATATCTTCAACAGCTGATCGTGCCTGTTCCTACGGCTGCCGGGGGACGAAAACTCAGATTTTCTGCCAAAAAGAAACTCGTTGTTCCTAGGTTCAGGACAGAAAATTATGGACGGCGTCGTTTCTCCGTGGCTGCAGCGGAGGTTTGGAATAAACTGCCCGATGATGTCGTTGATAGTATGGATGAAAGAGACATGTTCTGAAAACGACTTAAACATCACTTTTTTGACCGGCAGCTTCTCGAACAGCGCCTCTGAGTTTTACATAGAGGGGCGCTATATAAATTCTCCATACCATACCATATAAAGAAAAAAAAATTTTTTTTGGGAATTCAGTGTTTTTTTTTCAAAACCAAACATTTCAGAGAGAAAAAAAAAATTTAATTAAAAAAGGTAGATTGATAAACTTTGTATCGAAAACTACCATGCAAAAAATTTTATACAATATATGCATGTATATATATAAAGAGGAGGGATGCGAGATGCAAACACACAATCACACACACTAACACACACACACATATATATATATGTGTGTGTGATGTATGTGTATTTACACGCAGATTAACTCATAACACGATAAAAGGACACAAATACAGATAAAAAAAATGTCACTCATAAAAGTAAATACAAAATTTACCATAATTTATGTTAATGATATTATAATTCACTAGTCAATTAAATGGTAATTTAAATTAGGGCAATTATTAATAAGTAAGTATATATGCGAGACAGGCGATAACTGAATGCCAACCGCTGAAACAATATTTCAGAATATGTTAACTGAAAATAATAACGATACCAAACAGAATCACGAAACGAAACGGCATATATATATATATATATATATATGTATATATATATATATATATATATAAGGTGACATAATATAAATATATATATATAGTAAAGCATTGACATCGTTTACCTTTATCATATTTCTTTTCTTCCAGTCAGCGCTTGAACACACAAACACATTTTGGCAAGAAGAGGAGTATGAATTAAAGAGAAAAAGAGAGAGAGAGATATAAAGAGAAAGATAGACAGAGATAGATAAAGATAGATAGAGAGAGAGAGAGAGAGATGAAGAGAGAGAGAGAAATAATAATTTTAATAATTACAACGACTGAAGTGATAATGAAAACAAGTTACAGGTAAATAAAACCTTCCAATATATCACAGACACGTTAACGAATGTAATGACGACAACAATAATAACAACAACTACAATAATAATAATAATACCGTCAAAATTATGGTATCAATTATTTCGACCTGGCCGAGTTTGAAAATAGCGAAATCTAACAACAACAATAATACTACCACTGCTACTACTAACAACAATAATAATAACAACAACAACGACGATAATAATAGTAATAATAACAGTAATAACAATAACGATTACATAATCGTATCGTATAGTAGTATCGTATCGTATCGTATCGTATGACAGGATTCATACAGCACCTCTCTTCAAACGCACTCTCATCACTTTCTTCACGATATACATACATAATTATAAATATGCTAGGTACACACACACACACACGCACACACACACGCACATACACACGCACACACACTGGTATTAGTTGGAATTACCATCAGGCAGCTGGCTTTCAACGTTGGTATCCATTAAAGAAATAGCGCCCAAATTTTCTAACGTCTGCTGCTGCTGCTGCTGTATTTGCTGCAGCTGCTGTCGAAGGTGACGCTGCTCTTGCAGCGAGTACAATGGACTGAAGGGTGCCACGGCCACGGGGTTCGTTTCCATGGTTACGGGGCCAGGGTCTGGCTCGGAGGGGGAGGAGTCAGTTGAGGAGGAGTAAGCCGGGTACTGGGAGAAACTCGTGGGCTGTTTTTTTTTGGGAGGTGGCGGTAGTTATGGTGATGATTATTAGTCAACCAAACGATCGATCGATCGGTTGATCAATCAATCAATCCTTCAACAAACAACCAACCAGCCAATCAACCGACCAACCAACCAACCAACCAATCAGCCAACCAACCAACCAGCCAGCCAACCAATCAACCGACCAATCAGCCAGCCAACCTGTGGCACAATAGTAGCAACCGGCCTTGGTACCCTCTTCGAACAGCCCCCAGTTGAGTCATCCTGTTCGTTGCCGGCCTTGCAGGTTGTCATCGGCGAGGCCATCTCCATTTCCGACGAGTCCATGCTGACCACAGCAGCCCCCCCTGCCGTTCCAGGTGACGAGGAAGAACCTGAGGGCTCCCTGACGTCGGTGGTGATGGTGGTGGTGGCGACGGTGGTGGCGAGTTTGATGTCGGTAGAAAATTAAATAACAAATAATAGTCAGTGAAAGCGATAGTAACAACAACAATAATGAGAGTATCCCTTTATTTTCTACCTACAAATATTAAATATCAATAATGAAAAAATTATAAAATCCCATTAATCTATAACAATAATAATAATAACAATAATAATAATAATAATAATAACAATAAATGACATAAAAATAGTGACTATGAAATGGCTAACGATGATGAGAGGATGATTTCAATGACGAACTCAGTCTTCTCATAGCCATCTTCACTGGCTGTGTCGTGTTCGTCGTGATGATGATGATGATAATAATAATAATAATAATAATCATCATCATCGTCGTCTTCGTATATAACAAGACCATGAAAAACCCACCACACACTGGCAAACTCCAAACATACACACCACACCACACACCACATCAGACACGCCTACTTACACACACACACCAACACACACACACATACACACGCACACACACACACAAACACACCCCTAGGAACGTTATAATTCCCGAACAGCTGATCAAACGTCTGATTCATATAGGGCCACAAGTGTCTCAAAAGGGGCCTCTTGATATCTGGATTCTTGTCGTCTGCCACCCGGAAGGCCTTCAAAATGTACACTAAACTATTCTTATGAGAAGTGGATGTAGTGGTGGAGGGCAGGGACTTGGAGTAGCGTAGGAAATCCGGTGTGGTTAGGTACTGGCGGACATGGAAGAGTTTCTTGCATTCTGAAGTGGAAGATTGGATGGAACGAAAGTGTGTGGTGTGGTGTGTTGGAGTGTTTCGGCGTGTTTGTGCACGTATGTGTGTGTGTGTGGTGTGTGTGTGTGGTGTGTGTGTGTTGTATATGTCTGCGTGTATGTATTAGTGTACGTATGTGTATGTATGTACGTATGTGTGTGTGTGCGTGTGTGCGTGTGTGTGTGTGTGTGAATGGTTGAGTGTGCTTTCCTTTTAATCGTTCCCATTTTTATCATCGTCATCGCCATCTTCACCGTCATCCTTGCTAACACCGCCCCCAGCGTCATCATCATCATCATCATCATCGTAACCAACTTAGCAAAGGGTCTATCTCGACCACTGCCATGGTCAGCTGCCCACAAACGTCTGACCTCCCCATAATGTCAATACTCGTCTCGCTGAACCTTAGCAGGAAGGTCCCACAGGGAATTTGGTCTTCTAGCAGTTTCATTTTCACTTCCTCCTTCGATATAAATCCGTAGATCCAGCTGATTGGTCGGTGTGTGGGTTTGTTTGATTGGTCGGTTGATTGAGTTGTTAGTTGATTGATTGGATGAATGATTAACTGGATGACTAACCGACCGGATAGAATGAATGAAAAATAAGCGAAGAAAGATTGATTGGCAGGCATCATTATCATCATCATCGCCGCGATCACCACAACCATCATCATGACCGGAAACACGATCACCATCATGACCGGAAACACCACCACCATCACCATCATTGTCATAACCCGTTCTGCCACTCTTCTTTCAAGTAGTTGAGGACGAGGTTGTAGCAGGCGATGAACCATTTCCAGAAGGTGAAGCTTCTTTGATGCAGTTTGTCCTGAATGTATTATTATTATTTATAATTTATTAGTACTATTATTGTTATTGATATAAACATCTTCATCGTCAAATAATAATAATAATGATAATGATAATAATAATAATAATAATTATGATAATAATAATAATAATAACAATAATAATGATAATAATAACTTTCAAAAACTGCTTCTCTGATATCTCTTTTAATGAAAAATCGTCTGTCGTCGTGTCATCTTCTGCAGAAAGGAAGAAACGAATGAACGAATGAATGAATAAATGAATGAATGAATGAATGAATGAATGAATGAATGAATGAATGAATGAATAAATGAATGGATGAATGAATAAATGAATGAATGAATGAATGAGCGATAAAAAAAAGAAAGATTAAGCGGATAAAATGAACCGACCAATCACAAAATGAATAAACATACAAAAAAGTCATTCACACCATCGGCTCATTCATTTAATACATACAAAATAGCTAAGCAAATAGCTAACTGAATATCAGCTGAGCTAAATACAGCAAATGTTCATTGGTCAGCTGTTTATCGGTGGCCATTAGAAACATCGAGCTGAGAACTTGAGACAGCTCGGACCAAAGAACTATTTCGCGATATTTGTAGCCTGCCCTTTGCTGGGATGAACGAACGAATGAATGATTGAATGAATGAATGAATAAATAAATAAATGAACGAATGAATGAATGAATGAATAAATGAAGGAAGGAAAAAAAGATAAAAGAATGTATGAAAGAATATATAACCGAATGAATGAATGAATGAATGAATGAATGAATGAAAATAATCAAAATCATCTATATCTTCAGCACCTCATCAGAAAAGGCAGCGTCCCAAAGCAAACAGCCCCTGGCTTGTACCTCCTGAGCTGATTGGTTAATCATTATGAAGGGCAAGGACACTATCTGATGATGATTAGTATTATGATGATGATGATAATGATTTTAATGACGATGACTGAAACAAAAAATCCGACAGTAATAAAATGTATGATGATAAAAATCGTTAATACACAAAAACCACCACAATCCCAATCGTCATCATCACCACCACCATCACCACCACCATCAAAATCATCACCACAATCACCACCATCACCATCAGCGTCACGTCTCTTACAATCGCAAGAACAACGGGTGAGTGACCTTAACGTTGTAGAGCTTGTTGCAGACATTGACAATGGTGTAGAGGACGAAGGCGTATTTGTGCTCGCAGACGTCCTCGCTCAGCTTCAGCCGATCAAGCCTCTTAAAGTCCTTCAGCTGCAAACTCAAGAACTGAACGACACAGGCATTCGTCGAATGGTGGAAGATGAATGTCTGTGAGGTGTGTTTGTGTGGCGTGTGCGTGCGTGTGTGTGTGTGTGTGGCGTGTGGGGTGTATAAGTTTGTGTGTGTGTGTGTGTGTGTGTGGGGTGTATAAGTTTGTGTGTGTGTGTGTGTGTGCGTGCGG